TTTAACTGATTGTAAAATAAACCAAATCACATTCACAAAATTTGCTCCCCTTACCCTGATCAGCCTTGACATGTTAGATGTCTGAAATTTACTTTAGTTTTGCACTGGAGCTCAGAGGCTAACGTGGCTAACAAATAATGGAAGTCTATTATATAAACCGAGTGTTTTCCCATTCCACCTTAAATCGATAATGGGAAAATTTCACCAAGAAGCTGAAGCACCTGAATATAGCATAAAAGCTATAAATGCTGCACAATTTAAGGTTGGAAAATTCTAACAGGAAGCTGGTGAAAAAGAAGCTTTATTGAAAGTTGAAAGGCATGAAAAGGGATGAGGAGGCTGCTCTGTTTCTGCTTGAAAGGTGGGCAACATTAACTTATTTTTGCTATTTCACAAGACCAATAGGTCAGTATTGTTCTGTACTATTTGCTAATGTTTGTGAGAGCAACTAGTTAGCTTCATAGCAGCTATTATAGGGACAGTTTTCTAACTCACAACCTAGCTAATATTAGCTACATTTCTTGCTGTGTTGTTGCTCGCTGTAATGTTATATCATGGTATTTGTCCGTACAAAGTTTGCAAAGGGTTTTATGGCCACAAAGATCTAAAACACAAGTTTGCCACCCCAGTGTCATTCACCATGGCAATGTGTGTCCATGAATTTAGGGGTGGAGCTTCTGAAGGAGCACTAATGGGAGGGGTGTGATTTTGCTGTTGTTGGGTTCAAATATTAACAATCGTTCTCCAGAATCGTATATGGCACCTTTAAAAATTTAGAGCTTAAATATTTACAATTCATTAAAATGTAAACAGTCATAGTGGTTTGGTGCGAAATGCTCTATTCTAGTGACACTTATTGAGTCAGAATTGTTCACAGTGGTGGTGATAGGAACCAGATGTCCACCTCTAAAAGATCCCTCACAGAAAGTTATTATACTGCCTGAGGTTTTGAGAAGGGTTTGGCCTGAAACATACTTTTTAAAATACATTAAGTGTGAAAACAGTCTAAATATATACACACATACAGAATATACACATTAGTATACACCTGTGTTGCACCTATCCATTATACAGTGCTTGTACAGTGCTAAAAGTTATGTAATAAAAGCTACGACTGTATATATCATAGCTTTTATTTCATAATTCATATTACTGTAGAAAAACTGTTTACTGGAGTGGTGCAACACTGGTGTATACTAATGTCCACATTGTGTATATGTGTATATATTTAGAGTCTAATGTGTGTGTGTGTATATATATATATATATATATATATATATATATATATAGTACTACAAGGGAGCTATGCACCTAAGATTTTCACTCACCTTTGCACCTGTGTAAATGTGATGTAACAATAAATATGATTTGATTTAATTTGAAAAGGTACATTACCCAAAGAAAACTCATTTTTTCAGATTGATCACTATTTTACCATCAACATTACATATAAAACTCAGAAGACACGTGTAGGTTCACTGGTGGTTTCGACAGTAAATAAAACGGCTATATTTGTGTTGTGGTCATGGCGATCCTTGGTTCCTATCACCACCACTGTAAGGAAATCTGTCTATTCAATCAACTATTTCACACCAAACCACTCGGAATGACACCTCAACAATTACATTATGCAAACTTGTGAAAAATCTGTGGAATTCCTTTTAAAATTGAAGAAAGCCTTTTTAAAATGTGACACTACTGTTTTGTTTATTGCAACTCGCTCACAAACCTCAGGAACACTAAGTGATACAAGTAACGTCTTCAAGTGTCATTTTTTGCCAAACGGGACCTATTCTTAGCTTAATTAATGCTTCTCCATAACAACATTCTCAGCCCTGCCACTTGTAAGCTGTTCACTATGTTGTGGCTCTGGGCAAGGAATTTGGAAAAGCTGCATAATTGCATCTGAATTGTGCTTGGCCGCTACGCTGCATCATGGTGGGGAAATTCCTCTGCCTTTGCAGCGTGTGAAAACGTATGGGAACCAGATTTCCTCACAGTTACAGAGGCCCTGCACACAACGCACTTATTAGAACTTACTGCAGGCTGTCAAACATCATATACAGCAGCAGGACATCATAAGAGCCAACTTCAAGACTGAATGTGCGCACATATGCATATTTATAGATCTGCTATTAGTGGATTAAACAGCCTCTGTTTCACTGCTATCTCTTTTGGTGTTTTTGATGGAGTGTTTTTAGTATATCTGCAGATGTGTGTATATTTATAGATGGTCTATTTGCTTTGTGTGCATTAAACAGGATCATGTTCAGCTATTCATATATGGTCGTTTTTTTTAAATCTTCACTTCACTTGAGGGGAAAAGATCTCATGCACGTCATAAAGAGTCTTTATATTTAGAACGTGTTCCGGTTTATGTTTCAGCATCATTGCGCTGCAATCTGGAGTTGTTAAGGGAACATCGTATAAAATATGTGCACGAATTCTTTAATTATTATTAATATACTTGCATCATTCCACTTCAAATGACTTTGACTCAATATATGCAGGTGCATGAGAACTGATTGCCAGATATGCTGAAAAATTAGAAAAGTACATGCAAAGTGAATGTGAAGCTTAATGGTTGCTATGGTATTTCAGGTGGTTGCTAAGGTGATGAGACCAGTTGCTATGGTATTCCAGGTGGTTGCTAAGGTGTGGATAAGGGGTTGTTACAGTATCCCAGGTGGTTGCTATGGTGTTTGTAGGTGGTTTCTAAGGCATCTTAAGTAGTTGCTAGGATGTTGGTAGGTGGTTAGTAGAGTGGTATCCCAGGTGGTTGCTTTGGTGTTGGTAGGTGGTTGCTATGGCATCCCAGGCAGTTGCTAGGGTGTTGGTAGAGTGGTATCCCAGGTGGTTGCTATGGTGTTGGTAGGTGGTGTGTAGGGTGGTATCCCAGGTGGTTGCTATGGTGTTGGTAGGTGGTTGCTATGGTATCCCAGGTGGACGCTAGGGTGTTGCTAGGTCATTGCCATGGTATTATTCAATCAGTTATTACAATGTTCAATGAAGTACGCATTAATTTTCTGTCCAAATCCAAAAAAGCTTAGTGTGCAGTTTGTATCGTCTGTGTTCCACTATGGTATAAATAAGTTTTCCAGACACATTTGTGTATTCAGCACATTTTTAAAAAATTACAGTGAACCTTAATTTCATTAAGCATTTAGTGCCTATTTTAAACAAATTATTAAAATCTCCATCTCACTATGTTCACAGATCTGTTCTAGAGAAACTTACCACCTCAGAATTGTTCACAGCGGTGGTGATAGGAACCAGACATCTGGCCACTAAAAGCTACCTTACACAAAATAAATATGAATATGCTGCCCGATGTGTGAGATGTTGTTTTCAATTGTTTTGTGAGGTTTTGGCATAAAATATATTTCTAAAATCCATTAGCCTTTGTGAGGCAAAATAGTTCCCAAACATTTTTTTCTCATTTTTAACTATTTTACCATGATCAACATTCCATATAAAAACTCAGAAGACACGACTAGGTTCACTGGTTGTTTTGGATAGTAAATAAAATGGCTACATTTGTGTTGTAGTCAAGGTGACCCCTGGTTCCTATCACCACCACTGTAACGAAATCAGAGTCTGTAAGTTTCTCCACAATGAACTATTTCACATCTGACCCCTCTGAATGACTTTGTTCACATCTCAATATTTCGATTAGATGGACATTTTGAAAATTGGGTTGATTTCCCCTTTAAAGATTCAGAAGCTTTAAGACTTTAAAGCACAGAACCTAAATTTCACGCATTGCTCAGATGATACGGAAAGTGTGTTCACAGCTCGGGCTCGTAAATCAGTGTGTGTGTGACAGACAGTTTGATTAGTGCTGAGAAACACCTGAGCAGACTCGTGAGAGATTTCATCTCCCAGCAGCACCGTAATCCTTAATCCTCTTCTCCACACATCTGCTAACCCCACACTCAGCACAAAGCACCGGACCATATGTGGACAAACTATTGCTTTAAGAATCCTGTGTTAAACTCTATGAAGGCCCTACATGGTAAGATGACAAAAAAACTGAAAATGCGCTCCTCAGGTTGAGTTTATTTATTGTTTCTGCCTGTGTAACATGCCAACAACAGCTGAAAAAATATTTCAAGCATCACTTACAATTTCAGCCAAAAAGAAAATTTCTCCCTCACATTTTTTTCCATTACCATATGAAAAAACATTACTGACTAACACTTCACATGCTACACCAGCTTTGACCACAAGGGGCAGCTTTTCTTTTCCCTTATCCTTCGGGCACCAGATGAAAAAAATTACTTAGCATTGTAATGCTAAATGTTAGCCAGTTAGCTCCCTAGCCTTTTTTTCATGACGGATGGGGGGGGGCCCTGCTGGTCAAATCTGGTGTAACAGGCTAAGCTTTAGCTTAAAGAAGCTCTTTTACTCTAAAATCTTGTTGCATTACTCTAATAACATTTTGTTTTACCCAATACCAACCATAATGCATCTATATTGGCATGATGAACAGATGAAATGGAACTGTGTGCAGGTAGAGAAAAACCTAGGACTATTTGGGGAAAATATCTAATTATGATTGTTCTGACAAATATTAGGTATTGTGATTTAATTATTATTGTTTTCTATAAATTGAGCTCCAGGCCTTTTTTCCGCCAAGAAGAACAACACACTACATTTTTTCAGCTTGAACGCTGAACCTGGTGTGCCAGACTGACAGTTCAAGAGCTCTGTGTTATCAGGTGAAATTTCCTTATTTAAAACTTTAAGACAATGTTGAATAACACTGAGTGAGATCTTATTAAAATTGCAGCTCTTGCTTGAATTTGCACTCTTTCAAGTTGCGATTTTGATATTAAAACAGTTAATCGTTCAGCCCTAGAACATCCGAAAGCTACTGACTTTCATTGCTGCATTTAGCTGATTAATTCTCATTAATGCAGATCCAATAAGCAGTAAGATAGTATTAGTGTTAAACTGTCCACAGAGTAATTCCAAATCAGATAAAGGCAGGGTCTTACCGAAAGCAGTGCTGCGATTGGCCAGGTTGGAGTAGGCGTTCCCACTTGGAGAGGAGGTGGCGGGGCTGGACAGAGGGCTGTATGAGGACGGGTCAGCCTGGTAACTGTGACTGGAGCCGATGCCGAAGGGGGACGACTGGGCTTTACTGGACTGGGCCGGGAGCTGCTGCTGTGGGTCAAAAGATATGGATATAAGCGTTTATCATTGAATTCAGGTGTTCATTCAGTGACATTGCCATGGGTGTATAAAATCAAGCACCTAGCCATGCAGTCTGCCTTTACAAACATTTGTGAAAGAATGTGTTGTTCTAAAGAGCTCTCAGAATTTGAGCATGGTGCTGTAAAAAGATGCCACCATTGCAACAAGTCAGTTTGTGGAATTTCTTCCCTCCTAGATATTCCACCATCAGCTGTGAGTGGTATTATTGAAAAGTGGAAGCATTTAGGAACCACAACAACTCAGCCATGAAGTGTCAGACCAAGTAAAGTTACAGAGCGGGTCACCGAGTGCTGAGGAGCATAGTGCATAAAAGTCACCAACACTCTGCTGACTCAGTAACTGCAGAGTTCCAAACCTTCTCTGGCATCAACATGGTTTCCAAGTGTCGTATATAGTGGTGCAAAGCTCACCGCCACTGGACTCTGGAGCAGTGAAAACGTATTCTGTGATGAATCGCGCTTCTCTATCTGGCAGTCTGATTGATGAGTCTGGGTTTGACGAATGCCAGGAGAACATTACTTGCCTGACTGCATTGTGCCAGCTTTCAAGTTTGGTGGAGGAAGGATAATGCTATGGGGTTGTTTTTCAGAGGTTGGCCTAGGACCCTTAGTTCCAGTAAAGAGAAATCCTAATGCTTCAGCAAACCAAGAAATTGTGTGCTTCCACCTTTGTGGGAACAGTTTGGGGAAGATCTTTTTCTGTTCCAGCATGACTGAGCCCCAGTGCACAAAGCAAGGTCCATAAACGCATGGCTGGGTGAGTCTGGTGTGGAAGAACTTGACTGGCCTGCACAGAGCTCTGACCTCAACCCTATCGAACACCTCTGGGACGAACTAGAATGGAGATTGCGAGCCAGGACCCCTCATTCAGCGTCAGTGTCTGACCTCACAAATTCTGGATAAATGGGCAAAAATTCCCACAGACACTCTCCAAAATCTTGTACAAAGCTTCCCAGAAGAGTGGAAGCTGTTCTAACAGCAAAAGGGGACCAACTATATGTTAATGCCAATGGATTTAGAATGGGATGACATAAAAGCTTCTGTAGGTGTAATGTATAGGTGTCTCAATACTTTTGTCCATCTAGTGTATTTAACTGTAAAGGCTGAAACAAATAATAAAAACCAACACAAACTAAAATATTTTGTAGTAATCACATCAAAAAAGCAATCAATTTCTTGCCTTCAGTGACCTGTGGTTAGGAATACAGTAATCAGCTAATTAACGGCTAGAGGCTATGCAGCAACGATCTACCAGAAGTTTCCAACTGTTCTGTTATTTTCCATAAACGGGACCTGACGTAACACATGGTGCAAATACTGCTCACAACACCAGAGCGCAGGTAAACACTGCGTGACTAACAGGGGACTAAAGCATGTGGATGGAATCTGTCAGCATCACTCGGCAGGTCAGCCCAGTATAATACATTAGGTTCAAGAACAAAAATGTGAAACAGGATCTCCACACAGCTGAGTTCATTCAAGGCACACAGGCCCTCAAAGCCAGCACACTCACCACACGCAAGCTTCTCTAACCCCGGCAACCCGCTCAAACAGTCCAATCAGCTGTCGCCTGCTGCCCACGCGTGTCTGGATCCAATACCGCCGGCACGCAGGGCAATTAACATAACGCTCCGTTAGACACTGATTAGACTAACGGAGGCGGAGTGTGGAAGCGCAGTGGGACCAGCGGCACCTCATATTTACACTACAGTGTACAATCACTGAATTATTTATTCATTTTTGTTATTTAATACACCCTAACTTATTTAACTTATTTGTTTATTTAAATATTTTTAAAACAGAACCCAACAGGTATTTTCAGATGCTTTTTTTCAACATTTTAAGTATTTTAAGTGAACAAAATGTTGACGGAGGAAGGAGACACTGTAAAACACTTAGTGGACGATTTATTAGACACTCAACAAGAAACAGTAGTGTTGAAAATCTCTCACTGACGCTCAGTGCAGACAATCAGAGCTTTATTTTTATTGGGCAGGTAACAACATACCTGATATTGCCTTCTTTTGCTTCCCTTTTTTTTGTTTTTTTGGATTTTTTCCCAATTTTCTCCCCAATTTAGTTATATCCAATTCCAAGGACTCCCCCTAATCACACGACACCACTAGTGCTAGGAGGGCGAAGGCTAGCACAGGCTTCCTCCGAGTCCTGTGAAGCGCAACTGCGTCTTTTTAAAATGATGCTAACACAACGTCATTGGACAGCTGAACGCGCTTGGAGGAAAGCGCCAAATGACAGACGCCTGCACTGACTGGCAGTGTGCTGAGTGATGGGGGAGACAGGGGACCATCCTACCCACCCAGAGAGCAAGGCCAGTTGTGCTCTCTTGGACTCCCAGCCATGGACGGTATGATGAGCCTTTGCTTCCATTCTTCACTAAACAAAACCTTACATTAAGTGCATGTAAATAATGTAATATATAATCCGATAACTGCAGAAAATCAGATTTTGTCAGTAAGCCGATCAACATGATCTTGAGTAATCAGATAATGTGAAACTCCAGGTCTACATGAATCACGCAGTAATTAGATTTCTGCTTTGCAACCAGCCAATAAACTCACAGAAGAAGACGTGACGTAAACGTAACGGAAAACTTGAACTTCACGCTGCGGCTTAAAAAAAAACACGCCACTTTATCTGAAAATATGAACACACATCATCTAGAAGATGAAGAATATTTAAATCCTTTAATTTCATGTTTGGTTTTAGTGTCACTCCAAAAGTGTTTTGCTGCGTCTCGTGGTAAAGCTGCTTGCTTATTTCCGGTACCGTCGTCTGTTCTCACGCATGCGCAGACTGAGAAATCCGAAAGAAATCAGAGTAAGAGTTTACATGCACTGAGAAATCTGATTACTGAGCTAAAATCCAGCTCTCTTTATCAGATTTCTTAATCATATTTCTAGATCGGAGTATGGTGTTTACATGACCATTTGAATAATCAGATAACTGCAGAAATCCAGAAAGATTACTGATTGACACTTATTGTTTTTATATTATTTATTTATTATTTTTTTTTTTTTACATAATTTGAAAATACCAGCTAACCATCAGATAAATGGACCAGTAGAAATTGTCCAAAATTATTTAAAACACACTGTATGTCCAAAATTATTCAGACACCCCTTCTAATGTGTGACTTCAGTTCTGGTGTAATTTAGCCAATCTCACTACTTGTAGATAATCATCTGTAGCATGTCATCCAAAATGTCAGGCAAAGCTGTGTGTGACCGATCCACTTTGCACAGTTTGTAGGTCTTACCCCACAGAATGCCTCTAGGTTGGAACTAACTGTGGTATAATGCAGAATTTTGCAGCCCCCTTCTGCCCCATCTATTAATAGAAAAGGACCACCAAGAGACCACTGCTGACCGGATATTTGCATGATGCTAAGAAACTGACACATGCTTTTGTTTTCTCACGACTTGAGGACTGTAACTTGCTGTTAACTGGGTTGCCTTAGCAGGTGATTGATAAGCTGCAGCTCGTTCAGAACACCGCAGCCAGAGTGTTAACAGGAACATGCAAGAGAGAACACATCACACATCATTTTCACACCGGCTTCCAGGAGAGATTTTAAAAGGCCTGCATTCTACGTCCTTCTTTTATTATTTCCCTTGAGGTCCACTTAAAACATTTGTCTCATTTTTACATGACCAATTTCCAACTGATGTATGTAAATGAGCTCTGCTCTGACTGGCTGTCCTTTATCGGTCATCATTTAAAACAGCAGTCCAGGCTAAAACACTGCTTAGAACGTCAGTGTGGATGAGTGGTGCTAAACTGTTGTAGGCTGAACTGGTGGATATATGTAAGTAAAGAGTTGGTTCTCGTGACATCACAGAAACAAATTTAAAACAGGCTGTTTTACCATATACTGACTGTATGGACTGGGTAGCGAATGGGAGGTTTTGAAACTTTAACAATGCTTACATAATTTTACCTCAAACTTTATTTAAAAAAATGAGGGATTTTTTTCCATGATATGGACACTTTGAAGCACTGCTTCTGAATTTAAATGCACCCAAAACATGGACTGATCTACCAGTTGACATTAGACAGTCTACATCTGTACATCACTTTAAGAAGCAAATAAAGACACATTTTCACAAACTTTTTACCTTTTTTGTTTTACCTTATTTGTGTTACGACTATTATTGCTAATTTTCTTTTATTATAGCTATTTTTTTATTATTGATTAATTAATTTATTTATTTATTTTTATTATTATCTATTTTTGATTACCTTTTTACCTTCAATTATTGTTGATTTCTTGTGTTTTTATTATTAATTTTATTCATGTTTTTATTTTACCATATGCTTGCTAGTTTAAACTGCGTTATATATACGAAGGGTGCTTTACAAATAAACTTATTATTATTATTTTTCTTAGCAGTAGTATTTGGGGTGGTGGTCCATTCTCAGCACAGCTTGTTACTGTGTGTAGTGCTAGCATGAGTGTCAGTGTTGTTTGAATCTGCTTGAAAAGGGGGGTTTTGAGTAAATTAGAGAACTGGCTGAACATTCGCGTCACCCAGAGGGAAAGGTTCTCACCTGGCCAGAGAAGGGCGGCCTGCTGCCTGTCCAGGACACCTGGCCCGGGTTGAGCTGTCGAGAGATTTGGGCCAGGTTCTGACCCGCTGAGCCGGCCGAGGACTGGATATCATTCACCCCAGGAACATGGATGACCGATGAGCTGAAAACAAACACATTCAGAATCAGAAACTTTCTATCTGCCAAGTACAAAACATACTAGGAATGGTCAACATTAAGTCCATAAAAATATATAAAATATCAGATGAACTCTCAGAGCCTTCGAGACCTTCAGAGAAGGCCTAACGATTTCTGAGAACTAAAGATGTCTGTAATATTTAAGAACATTTTACAATATTATTTTTACTCAATACAATCATTATGCTTTTCTAAACTCTGCAGGCAATAATATTTTCATTGTTGTTTGGTTGGAAACAAGGGTTAAATTCTTGATTTATCAAGATATTTTCTCTGTGGTGTCTTGACACATACAGCCACGAGAGCTCTCCCATTGATTAGGACTTCATGAGCTGAAATTAAGGCCTTATATGCCAGATTAACAAGCACAATAATTACGAACTGACAGAGGAATCAACCAATCAGGTTTTTTTCAATGGGTGGGACCCATTTAGTGAGGAAAAATACATCTAGATACATCACTGACTGAATGAATCATAGCCTAACCAGGTTTCAGTTGGTTGTTAGGAATGAAAACAGTATAAGCAGCAGCTCTATGACACACTGCTTTACTGAAACAGTGACTGTAAAACTGATATAAGGTCAAATTGATGTTAATGTCTGTTAAAAGCTTTAAATAAAACATACACGTCTTATTAGCAGCTACCAATGTCTGTGTTCAATTTAAAACAGTCAAACAAATGTGCACCATCGTTAGCTCAGCGCTGACATATCATCAGAAATTCCATGAGGGTGCTAGCAGAAATCAGCATTATCAAGCAGTTGTTTTTCTCTTGTTTATGAAATTTATGGCCAAACATTAAAATATGATACACAGGGTGAGCCAAAAGACAGGAAGCACATAATTATCTCAGACACTTAACTGACCTCATCATCATTAGGTATTACTCCAGTTAAAACAGGTAGCATAAATGTCCCACCAATTTAAAACATGCTAAGAAAGTGCCTTCAAGTTGTTTCTGACTCCTGGTGACCATATGGATGGTGGTTTTCCAGAATATCCTGTCATCTGTTTGGGTCTTCAGGCTTCTGAATGGCTGGTGTCGGTCCATCTTGTAGCTGGTCATCCTCTTTCTCTTCTACCTTCAACTCTTCCAAGCATAATGATCTTTTCCAATGAACTGGTTCTTCTCAGAACATGTCCAAGATCAAAGAGCTTTAGTTAGCTGGGCTACGTCAGAGGAGAGGCTTGATTTGCTTGAGGGTCTTTGATTTGTTTTCTTTGTAAGATACTTAATTGACCTCATTATTATCATTAGTTATTAGATCAGTGGTGGAACATATATGTCCCACTGGTCTAAATGGTACATAGTAAAGATCCTATTAGTCTAAATTAGACTTTTATAGTGTTTTAATATCTACAAAGTGTTTATAAAATACATCATATAAAATACAGTAAAAAGTAACATACAAGTAACATAAAAGATGTTGTGTGCTATTTATTTCCTGTTATATTTTTAGTATTGAAGCGCACAGTGAAGTGTACATAAAAGATTCAAGTCCATTCATTACATGGTGTGTGTTTAGACAGAATCTACACAGTGAAAGCCCCGGTGAACCCTACACGCAGTGGTGGTTTGGGGTCCGTATGAACTCTGCAGGGGTGAATTTATCTATGGGGATTTTTTGCCGTGCATCTGTTTCTTTGTGGAGGCTCAACACAAGGAATTCTTCATGTGGTTAGTTTAATGTAGGGATTAATTATAGAAGCTGTATGTAGTGAATGGAATGCGCTAGAATAATAAAATGTATAATCCGCACATTTACAGCCAAGACAGAACAAACAACTGGAGCGCACACGAGTTTGAACGGACAAAGAATTCGGTCTGGAAAGTGTTAGAGCAGACAGGACATTCCACATGCACTCACACACACTCACACACACATACACACGTTTGTTTTCATGCAATGTGAGGACATGGGTTATACATACTACCCATGAGTATTACATGCATGCAAGTATGAAATAATAATGGCCCATATGTTTTAAATACACATATCTGATATATGCATGTGTGTGTGTGTGCGTATATATATATAAGGAACACATATGGGATTGTTAAAGTATTTTATACTTTAAATTCTTCAAGGTAGCCACCTGACAGCTTTGCACACTTTTGGCATTCTCTCAGTCATCTTCATGAGTTAATCACCTGCAATGGTTTTCAATCAACAGGTGTGCCTTGTTGTATGGCGGTAGGGTTGGTACACAGTTCTATACAGTAAATAGCCCTATATGACTACTTTTCTAATCCATATTAAGGCAAGAACCTCTCAGCTAAGTAAACAGAAACGACAGTCCATCATTACTTTAAGACATGAAGGTCAGTCAATCCAGAAAACTGCAAGAACTTTGAATGTATCCTCAAGTGCAGTCACGAAACCATCAAATGCTATCAGGAAACTGGCTCTCATGAGGACTGCCCCAGGAAAGGAAGACCAAGAGTTACCTCTGCTGCAGAGGATAAGTTCATTAGAGTTACCAGCCTCAGAAACCGCAAATTAACAGCACCTCAGATTAAAGTGCACATAAATGCTTCACAGAGTTCAAGCAGCAGACACAGCTCAACATCAGCTGTTCAGAGAAGACTGTGTGAATCAGGCCTTTATGGTCGAATTGCTGCAAAGAAGCCACTACTGAGGAAAAACAACAAGAAGAATAGACTTGCTTGGGCCAAGAAACACAAGGAGTGGACCTTAGACCAGTGAAAATCTGATAAGTCAAAATTTGCAATTTTTGTTTCCACCCACCATGTTTTTGTGAGATGCAGAAAAGGTGAGCAAATGGTTTCTACATGTATGGTTCCCACCGTGAAGTATGGCGGAGGAGGTGTGATGGTGTGGGCGTGCTTTGCTGGTGATACTGTTGGTGATTTATTCAAAATTCAAGGCACACTTAATGGCTACCAGAGCATTCTGCCATCCCATCTGGTTTGCACTTGCACTTTGGACCATCATTTGTTTTTCAAAAGGACACTGACCCCAAACAAACCTCTAGGCTAAGTAGGGGCTATTTGACCAAGAAGGAGAGTGATGGAGTGCTGCGTCAGATGACCTGGTCTCCACCATCACCCCACCTAACTGAGATGGTTTGGGATGAGTTGGATCAAAAAATGAAGGAAAAGCAGCCAAAAAGTGCTCAGCACTTCTGGGAACTCCTTCAAGACTGCTGGAAAACCATTCCAGATGACCACCTCATAACGCCAATTGAGAGAATGGCAAGAGTGTGCAAAGCAGTCATCAAAGCAACTTTGAGGAATTTATAGTAAATTTATATATATATATATATATATATATATATATATATATATATATATATGAGCAATGGTTATAATATGGAATATGTGTCCATGCATATGCATGTAGCAATTTTTCTAATAATTTTTTACAGAGTCAGGAAAAACATGCCCACCTGAAACTCTTGCCTGAATGCCCGGGTTGGAAAGGACTGCCTTGGGAATACAGCTGCTGACCTCCAGCCGTGGAGGAGGGCACCATCATCTTCTTATCAGCTACACGAACACAGGAACAGAGTGAAGATATGAACCTACAACCTCACGCCTTACAATACACACCTTAAATGCCAGCTTATCAGCACTACAGAAAGGAACACCGATCATGGCTCATAAGCGAGCTAATGCATCACAGCCCAAGCAGCACAATCAAATCCAATCTGTATCAGCAGCACAGATATATCATAAAGCACCGAGCGGACAGAGCCGGGTAGCAGTGGAACAGAGCACAGGGATAAAAGATAAACCAGGGCTCATTTTAAAGGGGAAGTAATAAGACCACTGAGGCTTTTGTTGCAGACTGACTGGTGTTTATCAGTATCAGCAGAGACTGAGTTTGCCACGTAAGAGCGAGAACCAAATCTCAGCAGAAGAAACACAGTGGGGAAAAGATTTATAGTGATAATTTGGTACATAGTATAAGCTTCTATAGGCAGCTGCATTAGCCTTGTAGCTGCAGTGCAAAGCTAAAGAAGAAAACTTCAGGCACCATGTCTTGGTTGATGGACTATGTTTGAGGTAAGGGGATGAACACTGTAAATTCTTACACTACATGACTTTTACCCCGATTTTAGCCCTGACTCTCAGTCTGGCTGAGTCTGTGCTGGTCAGCCCTAGTCTTCAGATTTTTGGGTCAGTAGGAGTCGACAGTTGGGGAATAGAGTCGTGTGTGAGGGGTGCAGACTCAGACTTTTGGCCTCCCGATCGCGTTTCAGACCAGTTGGAGTTTATCAAACGTTTAATTTTTTCGACCCGACTCTGAGCTTAATCTAGTGTAAACTGGTCAATGACTCAATCTGAATAGATTCCTGCAACAGCAAATAAAAACTGAGAGCACGGAAGAAGAAAATGTAGTAAGTAAACAAAGAAAAATGGAGAAAAGTCTTTCACGTGTGGAACGAAGTTTTTCAATGAGCTGAGTTTAAGGAATGAGCACAATCGAGTTTATGTACATTTAAAACTCTAAAAAATACCAAACTGATCACATTTTTAAAGCCATGAGCCTCATTTAAACATGTTTACCTGCTGCTTCTTTACCATGTCAGTGCAAACGGCAGAGAAAACAGCAGCAGCAGCTCCACGTTTGTTTATTTGCGTCTCCTAGTAACGGGGGGGTTCAGCAACAGCTTAAATGTCGACTAGTGTGTGATCCCTAATCGTTTAGTGTGTGATCCCAAATATTTTAGTCACCTATAAAATCTGCAAAAAACAGTCTGAAAGTGTGAGATACCCAGTCTTTTTATAATCTGTTAGAACTTTAAAAGTCATGCAGTGAACCCAAGGCTTTAGTTGAACCATCCCTTTAAAACTACTGCAGAAAGTTTGATTACACTGTAGGCTGCATACTTTCCAGCTACATTATATAAGAGCTGAGTGTTGCTGCCAAGTCACCTTGCTGTTCCTGATGGTACAGGATGCTACAATGAGCTCTGAGGCCATCGCTAGAGTCACTGTAAAACCCATTTAAAGTCTACAAAGCCTTATTGACAGCTGTGAACACAGGCTGGGGAGTTTTCGGAGTCAGAGAGAGAATCATCACTGAGATTTTACTGCTCAGAGGGGACAGGAGGAGAGTGCCAAATCTTCCAGAAAGCATCTTCCGTAACTGCTGAAATACAATCTAGGGGATCATTTGTAATATAGAAATGGTGGATAATATGGCAACAATATAAAATTGCTTGAAGACATTTTCATTTTCATGATACAAAATATGCATCACAATATTTGTTTCTTTTTCTGAGGTTGGATGACTTAAATTGGACAAGCTACCATCAGAACCACACTGCTGCATTTATAAAAATGGCCATAAAATTCATGAGCACAAATTATGTTATACATTTAACGCATCTGCTGCAATAAAACACTTAGGAAGAAATACAGGAACAACAGGAGGAACAAATAACCAATAAAGAAATGAATAAAATAAGATAATGGGCTCTGTTTTTCTTCCACAATCCAAAAATGTGCAGTCAGGCATTGGACACATTAACTTATGCTCACTTTGAAAATCAGTAGAACATGTCACTTAACTGGGGATGCCAAAATTTTGCATACAAATGTATATGTGCATTTTACCCATACATCATCCACCCTCATGTGCTGGTGAAAAACTGAGGGTCATTAAAAGTAGCTACTGATATCTGCTGCTTTGGTCCTAGATGGACAAGTGAGATGAAATCATGGGAGAAAAAATCTGTATGTGTTGTATGTGAACAGATCAGAGAATATCTATAAATGATATAAATACAGTTAAAGTTACCTTAGTTTGCTTAGTAGATGAGCCAGTGTGGACTGGGTTTTTATGCATGCTGATCGTGCTGTTCAGTATGTTTTGTTTTAAGAACATTAATTTAAGTGATATTACTGTATTGTCAAATCAGTTAGTTTAGACAAGAATTCAGTATAAAACCTTTGATTTTCTGTCAGCTGTTGTCACACAAAAGACATTTTCAATGTTGTACTGATAGAAATGACCGTGTGTTCACACAGTGATGTCAAGAGACAGACGAATATTAACATATTAAAAACATAGCGTCATATTTCCCACCCCCGACACTTCTGCAATGTGGATCAGTGTTGGTGGAAGGTGAGTCTGTTACGTACTGCTGGAGATGCCTGTGTACATGTCACTGAAGCGCGGGTCTCTCTCCTGAGAGAAAAGCGTCTCCGTTTTGTCGATGGTCTTGCTGGCCTCGTGGACGCCGGCCGGCACGCTGCCCACTGGCACCTGCTGTTACACACAGGACAAGCACAAACACCAACAACAGCCGGTTTAAAGCAGCATATTCTGTCCATTTTTAGCCCTTACATATTTTTGGGTCAAATTTGCCCCCACACTGACAGTAAAACCACCCTCAATTTTGACCCACATGAATTACACGTTCACCAAAGAGGATCAAACAGTGAAACAGTACAATTCTGAACCCTCAAATCTTATTTTTTTCCAGGAAAACTCAGAAGTAGATACTTTTTTAGAGAAAACAGTTTTTGTAATGTTTTACATCACTCGCTTACTGCCATTTTCCCTTTCTCTGACAAACATCCACCCTCCCAAAACACTACAGGCCTACATAACCCAAGACCGACAATAACAAGTACAACTGTATTCATACGTTTCATGAACACACTTTAACTTGAAAAACCTGTAACTACACACTTAAAAAGGTTTTTCCTGGGTTCTTTAAAGAAAATGGTTCTATAAAGGACCATGAACACTCAAAGAACCCTTTGCATGCTTAAATGATTCTTTGCATTGTGAAATGGTTCTTCAGATTGATGTAGAATGTGCTGTAGATGGTTCTAAATAGCACCAAAAAGGGCCCTGCTATTGTTACAATGTGAGTCTTGTTACAATAGAAGAACCCTTTTTTGGTGCTATATAGAACCATTTTCTTTACTAAAGACCCCTTGAAGAACCATCTTTTTAAGAATGTACAGCAGGTGCATAAAATAATGGCAACACTACATGAAATACAAAATAGAAACATCTACCATAAAAGTGAACTTTGTAGGTTTGCAGACTGTAGCCCATTTGTTGTTGCACAAGTTCTCAGCCCACCCACCTCATTTATTGACAGGGAACACTACAGTACCACCGCTGTTGTCCGGATATTATTTGGGTGGTGGTCCATTCTCGGCACAGCAGTGACACGGACATGGTAGTGTGTGTGCTGCTGGGGTTTTTACACATGTCACTGCTAGGCTGATAACAGTCCACAAACCAAAAACATCCAGCCAACAGTGGCACTGTGGTAAGAAACTGACCACCACTGAAGGTTCAGCTGATGAAACTGTGCATGAAAAGAGATCAGCTATTGTCAAAAATAACTCAGTCCATATGAACAGTATGTAAAGATCACAGATAACAGTATGTCATAAAATGTCAGAAAACAAAGAAGCAAGTCTTTTATTTAACTCCTTAAATGGCCAGCACCCACCAGCAGGCCCAGGTTTTATCACATACTTCTATAACCTAAGAACAGCTCAACCAGTTTGCATTGAAGTCCCTGTAGTTACTAAATAATAAACCTTGGTATGTAATAAGCCTGAGGTTTTAAGGGGTTAACTCAACACGGTTTGAGGCAAGTATGATTTAGGCACAATGCTGATTGGTGGTGTTTAAGCTTATTCACTTTAGCCTAGCGTCAGGGCAAAGTTAGCTTTACATGGTGAAACTTTTATAGAACTTAAGTTGCTTAAAACTTTGAAACTAAATTGCAATCGAGTTGCATAATGTTAAGCATCCTGCAACTCATTTGAAACTCAGCTGCAACAGTTGGAAGCGTCTCAACTTTGTGAAGCACATTTTCATCAACAGCCCATCAAAACGTTGATATTGAGGATATTTTGGAATCCAAAGAGCAGACCTACACTATATTGCCAAAAGTATTCGCTCGTCTGCCTTCTCACGCATATGAACTTGAGTGACATCCCATTCTTAATCCATAGGGTTTAATATGATGTCGGCCCATCCTTTGCAGCTATAACAGCTTCAACTCTTCTGGGAAGGCTTTCCACAAGGTTTAGGAGAGTGTTTATGGGAATTTTTGACCATTCTTCCAGAAGCACATTTGTGAGGTCAGACACTGATGTTGGACGAGAAGGCCTGGCTCGCAGTCTCCGCTCTAATTCACCCAAAGGTGTTCTATCGGGTTAAGGTCAGGACTCTGTGCAGGCCAATCAAGTTCTTCCACACCAAACTCACTCATCCATGTCTTTATGGACCTTGCTTTGTGCACTGGTGCGCAGTCATGTTGGAACAGGAAGGGGCCATCCCCAAACTGTTCCCACAAAGTTGGGAGCATGAAATTGTCCAAAATCTCTTGGTCTGCTGAAGCATTAAGAGTTCCTTTCACTGGAACTAAGGGGCCGAGCCCAACTCCTGAAAAACAACCCCACACCATAATCCCCCCTCCACCAAACTTTATACTTGGCACAATGCAGTCAGACAAGTACCGTTCTCCTGGCAACCGCCAAACCCAGACTCGTCCATCGGACTGCCAGAAGGAGAAGTGTGATTCGTCATTCTAGAGAACACGTCTCCACTGCTCTAGAGTCCAGTGGCAGCGCTTTACACCACTGCATTCGACGCTTTGCATTGCGCTTGGTAATGTAAGGCTTGGATGCAGCTGCTCGGCCATGGAAACCCATTCCATTAAGCTCTCTACACTGTTCTTGAGCTAATCTGAAGGCCACGTGAAGTTTGGAGGTCTGTAGCGACTGACTCTGCAGAAAGTTGGAGACCTCTGCGCACTATGAGCCTCAGCATCCGCTGACCCCGCTCTGTCATTTTATGTGGCCTACCACTTTGTGGCTGAGTTGCTGTCATTCCTAATTGCTTCCACTTTGTTATAATATCACTGACAGTCGACTGTGGAATATTTAGTAGCGAGGAAATTTCATGACTAGACTGTTGCACAGGTGGCATCCTATCACGGTACCACGCTGGAATTCACTGAGCTCCTGAGAGCGACCCATTCTTACACAAATGTTTGTAGAAGCAGTCTGTATGCCTAGGTGCTTGGTTTTATACACCAGTGGCCATGGAAGTGATTGGAACACCTGAATTCAATGATTTGGATGGGTGAGTGAATACTTTTGGCAATATAGCGTAGGTGCACCTGTAGTGCTTTTAGGACATGATGAGTGAGACATTAAGTACAGGTGTAATGCCCAATTAAACATTCATTTTTAAAAGCTTAGCTTATGCAGAACAGATTTAAAAGTCATGTCTATACTAAAGAACACTAGACAGACAGATAAAAGACAATAAAGTAACATGACAACTAGTAAAATCGTACAGAGATGCTGCAACTATGTAAATAACACCTCAAGGATGGTGTATCAGAAAAAAAATGAGCTGCTAATTTAGCTGGCAAGTGTAATAATCGAATGTATTGCGTGCAACTTTTCAATTGTGCAACTGGCAAGTTGCATGAAAATTATGTTGCATGCAACTCACAACATGCATGAAAGGTTTACTGTGCCAAGGCAGCCCAAGACTATACAGGCAAACATCCGAAACTTCACTAAACATGTCTTGGCTGGAGTGAGGGGATGCTTTTAGATTCCTTTTGGAACTATCTCTTTAAAGGCCTTATTCATCTGAATTAGGAACAGATGCTGAACATTCAGTTTAGTAAACACTGCAACTGCTAACAGACCATCCACCTGGTACGTGTTGCCTATCTAAAGCAGACTCACCAAGCTATGCAACAACAACCCTAATTTAACAGCAATGAAGTAATTATAAATATGTATTACCACTAAGGAGTGAGAAAAAGTATGCAACGAAGAGAGGAAGAAGTGGATAGGTGCCGGGGGCTGCGTTCCACATGAGAGCAGATTACCACCACACACGGCTATGCCTGACTTCACGGCACAGCTATGCCCTAATTCCAGTACATGGAGCCAGAGAGAGCTAGCTGAGATACAGCCTGAGGGTGTGTTTCAAATTAGACTGCATCCTCCATAGCGTGTGCAGGTTATGCAACTTTAGAGGGATACTCTGAACATGCAGAAAAGCAAATCCTGCAAGTGGGTGGCTTGTGCTGAGAGGGCTGCAAACTAAAATAGTTCTCTATATTATGGAATGGCTTTCATATTGTAACACAGTACTGTTTTATTAGGGGTTAAATTAGGCCAGAGCAAATAGAGCTGAGCTCTAGTACTATAATTTGATGGAAATGAAGATAAAAGGTATATGATTTGCATTTTATATCCTAAAACAGTGAGTGTTACAAAAGCTTTTAATTGCCTATTTGAGTTATTAAACTGTGCTGGTCTGGTTGCACCATTTGACCTATTTGGTTGAGCCACCTGACTTTTCAGACTAATTTCAAATGAAACAGGCATCTACTTAGACACCCAAAGTAACTTTTTTCCTTGAACGTGAGTTTATACTTAAACATTATTATAACAATTACACATTTTCATAGTTCTCCTGAGGTCAGACCACCTGGCATGGTAAAATGAACTGTTAACTAATCATGACTCAAAATTTGTGAAAAGGCTACTGTCCGTGGCATTGTACCATGAAGGTCATTTAGGGTCTTCTTTGTGATGCAATACCTTGGCCCCTCTTTTGTTAAACTATGTTAAAATAAAAGTTTGTTTCTGGTTGTGCTGCCTGACATTTGAGGAAGTAAGAGCTTGCAGAGAAAAATTTTGCAGTGAGAGTAGAACTTTTTAAGCTGTTTTTACAACGTGGTTTTTATTTTAAAGTTTCCAAACATAAAATCATGCCAAATTATTTTATTTTGAATTTTATGTAACTTAATTACCTTTTTTTAAATGTTTACTTTATCAACATACATGGTTGGACAGTTGCACCACCTGACATTCTTAGAATTTTGAAGGCAAAAAGAAACTAAAATGAATTTTACATGGATGCGCTGAAAAATTGCTTCGAATATTGCTAAATAATCTGATATTTGTCATGTATTTATTACATTTTTTTTGGGAAAATAATGGACAGAAAAATTGCACATTATGTCAATCACCCAAATCCAGACTTCCAATACAGACTTCATGAAATCCATTGCAAATTATATCCAGGGTAAGAATCCAGTGTAAAATTTAACCACATTTTCAAGTACGCCTTGTGAAAATGAAATGATGTTTCTAGCTTTAAACTGGTATTAGCATTAGTAGAAATTGCATGTGCCAAACTGAGATAAACTGGATCAGGACATCTTTATAACTGTATTTTTGATGATATGGGCTACCACAGTGGTCACCCACCCTGGTCCTGGAGATCTACCTTCCTGTAGATCCACATTCTGCCACACTTTCTCTGGCTAATTAACCTCTTTAGATGTCAAAGATTGGCTGGATCAAATGCATTACCATTAGGTAAGTGGAGGGGGGTCTTAGATGCTGTAGGAAAAGATGCTGTAGTAAAGTAGATCTTCAGTAACAGGGCTGGTAACCACTGGGCTACTGGTTTGAATAATCAGCTGTTCTGGAACTAGTAGCAATGCAAATTATAGCAGACAGTAGGGCAATATAAGACTGTGATATGCAAATGAACCCTCTAACCAATCACAATATTTTTACTGGGTGATGTGAGCACCCTGACCAATCACAGCTTCAGCAGAGTTTCGGTGGGAGTTTTGATGAATCATCAATGATATTCTTGCAGTCCAGCAAAGCTGAATTATTTTAGTGGAAATAATACAAGCAGATCTTTTATCATCACAATATTGGTTGACCAGTGTGTTTTGATACAGTGCCAGACATATCACGCACAACATGATCACAACACTACTATTTTAGCCATATCATGCAGTGGAAAGGGAATACTAGTCTTCTATATTATATAGCAATTCAGAATATACAGAAGTGAAATATGCATGAACTTGGTATGTTTATAGATTGTGTGTATGTGTGTGTAGACACACCTGTGACAGATCATATGCTGTCAGTCCGTCCCTCTGATGAACCTCCAATTCGGCTTGCTGCTGCTGCTGGAGCTGCCTGCAGGAAACCCACAAGACAAACAGAAAAAACTTCAACAGAGCACTATTAACTAACAAAAAAAAGCTGCTCTACAACAGAAGTCAGCAGGATTGTCAGAGCTTTCAATGCACTCAGCATGATTAATATACATATTTGTATCATCTTGATGATGTGAGTTTCTGTGACTAACACACTGGTATGGGTTGCAATGACAGAATAGATCAAATAACATTAAATACAAACAGCAAGAGAGTGGTGGGAGTGTAGTCCAATGAGCTATGTCTAATCTTAGAGCAGTGGTGTGCTCCTGTAAGTGGTGTGCTCACACCTAGTGATTTAACCACTCTGCTATAAAGCCAATTATAACAAAAACTATGTTGTCCTTAACTATTCCGTAATAATACTTTAACCATGATGATAATTCTCAATTCCAGTGTTGTATGTAAAATAAGAGAGGCAGAAAAGGTTACTGTTCCAATAAGCTGCATCATCATAAGGCCTATATAGAACAGAACAACACTGATTACTGTGCAAAAGGCACCTAAGACCATTATTTAGAATGATTTTTCTAGGAAATAAGTGTGTTTTTGCTTGCAAAATTATCATATATCCTTAGAATGCAAATGAACATAAATACAGCAAAAAGTATCAAGATTTTTTTCTTTCAATACAGTAGTTGATACATTGTGAGCTAGTTTAACCCCTTACATGGCCTTCCGGGCCCAAAGTTTTATTACACACTTCTATAACTGAAGAATAGCTCAACCAGTTTGCACTGAAGTCCTTGTAGTTACTGAGTTATAAGCATGTAATAAGCACTCTTCATTTAGCTTAATAAAGTACTGATTAGCCAAACCAGGTCTTAAATGAAACAAATCATTTTCAAGGAATATTTTGGTGTAACACCGCTGCTGTCAAGTTTACAGCTGTCCATTATTTTGCCTCAGAATTTTTTCCTTCCCTGTGGCTGACTGGATATCGTTCATGAACTCTTACGAATAATCGAATATCAAAATCATTTGCAATGCACATCCACTGTCGATATTGTGCAGCCCTGCTCACAAGCACATCAGTAGCAGCCTCCAAGAGGCACCAAAACCTCCAGACTGAGGTGCTAAGACTCTTTTCGGACTAATTCTGAGCACCATCGCAGGAAGAAGAGTGAGTGGTCGAACACTCCACATGAGGAGAGACACTATCTCTAACCATCACTGACCCCACAAGCGTGTTATCCTCCAATCCTCAGCCTGCACGGCCACATGATGAGCCAGGGGCCGAATCGGCTCAGATGGGATTCTGCACAATTCCCTGCTAACAGAACTTATTGGATTTCCATTCAGCAAACTTGACCCGATCAAGACACCCACTCTTGCTCATCAAAGCTCACAGTGTAGAGCCAGAACTGTGACATCCAAACAGTACCACACCGTGCTGGTGCCAAAGCTGTCAAAAGCAAGATTTCACCATGTGCAAAAACATTACCTGCTCTTTGGACTTAGCACTGACAATAACAGAAGCATGTTGTAGTTGAATATTAATTCAAATGAAGTCATATAGATGCAGTGTTTCATGTAAACACCATATGTTACAAGGTCAAAACCCTTAGAAGCTGCAGTTGTTGCTAAAAGCATGTGTGAAAGGATGTTGATCATTTCTGACTTATTAAAGCAAGTGGAGAAATATGCAGGAGAGGAGACATTTTAATATGATCTGACTTTGAAGAATTATCGTTGTGTGTGCAGTCTTGTTTTGCAGAAGCAAAAACATTCCTTACATTTTTTGCCATACTTTTGTTTTCACTTTTTGACACTGAAATAAGCCTTCAGGAGTGCAGATCTGAACCAATAAAGATTGTAATCGAATGTAAATGTAACGTAGCAACATTCACTAATAATGATAAATGGTACTTTAGACTTGATAATTCTGTCATAAACCAATTCACAGCACTGAACACCGGGAAATAACTTCTATCAGGGCTGCAGCTGTAGAATCATAGCAATGGCGCACAATCAGCTGGGCTTCGGGTTGGAACTGTGGACCAAAATGTGTTAACTGCATTTAAAAAAACTACCTTTAATAATTTATATCATTAAATTTCAGTGCTCATTGAAATAACTAGTTACAATTAAATGCTACCTGAACACACTAGTGAACTGACCTGATAAAAGATTAAAACTGTATTATTACTATTTTTAAGTAAGCACTTTAAAAATAAAGATGGTTCTTGTGCAATGCCACAGAAGGACCACTTTTGGTTCCCTAAAGAACCTTTTGATAGTGGTTCTTTAGAAAACCAATCAGAAGAACCTTTTCAAAGCTTAAAAATTTTGTAGTAATGCAAAAGTAATGGAAATGTTCAAGAAAGGAATCGGTAACCTTTACATCACGTGAAGGTTCTTTAAACCTTTAAAAAGTTCTTCAGCCTCAGGAATATTTTTTCAAACAAAGTTATTTACAGCAATAAAAGTGGTTCTTCTAAGGCAGGGATGCCAAATCTTGGTCTTGGAGATCCACCAACGTTAAGATTGTAATAGGCTTATAAGCTAGCAGGGGAAAAGAGAGTGGAAGGAAAAACCAGTCTCTTGGGGTTAACTTTTAGCCATTAGCCTAGCATGAAGGCCAGCAGCTTCAGGCAATGCCATGGTCTCAGCTTACAAGTCAAGAGGTTCCGCAGCTGCTCAGCTAAAAGTGATTGTGTGAACAGCTTGTAATCTTTACTAAATTCCAGCAGCTTCTGACGCTCATAGTTAAAAGCTTGAGGGTACGAGATGCACACATGAGAGAAAAGACTTTCAGAAAACAGCATTCAGGTCCATTTCTATGAGGCTGAAATCAGCTTTTTATTAGCCAGCTTCTTTTTCAAATTTCTCGTTCGACCTTAAATTTTGCATATTTAAGGTGGAACAGGAAAATTGAAACAAGAAGCTGGCTAATAAAAAAACTGATGTCAGCTTCGCACCTTTTTTGCCAGCCTCAGAGACGTTGTGGGCTTAATGTGTTAGGGTTATAAAAAATATTGACATTGGTCTATATATTGTTCATTTCTGTTATTTTCCCAAAAAAAAAAACAATGAGATTCACTTCAGTTGTTAAAAATTGTTCTTATTAAAAGTGAAGGAACATCCATAATAATAAATCACGGTCAATCATTGTTAAGCATCCAAAATGGTTTGTATTAGGAAAAAAAGGCATAAATACACTATAAAGTGATATATACCAAAACCGTCAATAAACAGTTCATTATAATGTGATATAACTTTTTGCCTATACCACCCACTACTACCTTGAGGCTGATGCAAAAACTCAGTTTCTAGCATTCTATATACTCTTTTCCATTAATAACGTGATTTCTGAATGCTGTTGTTGCTTTTATCTGTATGTGATGATCGACATACAGATGGAGACTGAGACTGATGTTTGAGATTTTTCATCAATTTGTGTGACAAACTACCTTTCTGAACAAAATCTGTGTGAATAGAAATAAAAGCCACATATCAGTCATGTTTTATCATTTCTCTGATTAAACAAAACAGCAAGCACTTATTGATCCAAATATTATTCTGATAAGCTGACATACTCGCTCCATTAAAAAAAGACATTGCATCCAACAACAAGGGAAGGTTTTATACAGTGATATAAAAACACGGCAGCTCTCAGTTCCAGTTATGTATGCAGAAATTGATAAATTATTTTACTTTTGCCAACAGTGATGTGGATCCAGCATACACTGACTTAAAAGAGTGGGTTCTTAATTTTGGAGCTGGTACCGATCCGTCAGGGCCGTGTGGTTGAGAGTATGTACGTGTAGTTGTTTACTGAACAACAGGAGCTCAACAGATTCTAAGTCTTTCCACACGAGCAAAAAAGAGATGGTAAGGATCCAAGAGAAGAATGCAGATCATATTGAGGCTGTTAGCCACAAGTGATTTATGATGTCTAGAGTTATTGTTGTCGTTTTACTATATATTTGGTTCACATTACATTATAATTTAAATCCATTGTTATGTAATTCATTATGTAACTGCTGGTCTGAGACACACAAATTTGTAGTTATTTTGAGTTATTACTGTGCTTTTGCTACCCTTTTGTAATTACTACATAGTTGTAAATGTATTATATTTACATTCTGTAGCTTTACATTCTGTATTGACAGGTTTGAGTCAACACTTCCGTTTTTTGTTTGTTCTGATGTAAAAAGAAAAAAAATGCATTGCATTACTTAAAGTACATTTACAACAAGCCCAAGTCTGCACTTTGAACTTTTGTCACAGCACTTTATGCACAGCAACAAATGCAAATCATCATTATAAATCTATTTACAAACACAAACATGGTGTGTACTGAACTTTTCACACAATTTCTCCATGAGAAAAATGAATTCCTATTAAAACTACTGCATGCTTTCATCATCACCAGCAATAACTCTGAACTCACAGGGTTAATATAGTTAACTACCTCTCTAAATGAGGTTTATGCTCTTGATTAAGGGTCATAAATTACCAGGCATTCACTTGTTCCCACACTAATTTACCCCATAAGAGTGCACAGCTACTTTTAGTCCTCCACATCTGTTAGCTGTAAGGCTGAGTGATAATTATGTAACAGCAAACAATACAATGGCAGGATTCTTACTGACATCAGCCACATTCATCAGCTCAGTCACACGCATACAAGCTTCCCACGCTGACACCTGTCCCATCCTACTGCACGTCACAGTTTTCGTGCCTCGTGCTTACTCACTTCCCTCTTTTATTTATTTAATCATTCTTGATTAGTGCTGTAACCGCTACTTGCCGGACATATCTGGCCCAAAACAGACAATCACAAAACTGATTTCTCGCTCACTGAGGTTAGCAGTGACACACTCCATTTTCCATTTATTTACATGCATGTACTTAAAGGTCCCATATTCCACATTTTTGCCTGCTGCACCATTTAAGGTGGAGCGGGAAAATCTGAAGAAGAAGCTATCGAACGAGAAGCTGACATCAGCCTCATAAAAAATCAAATGTTGAGAG